AATACAACAAGTTGTATCGGATAATGTTAGATTGAAATGGATAAAAAAACTCAAATCCTAAACGCCACATCTTTAAAACATGGGATAGTATAATATTCTTATCCAACCCTATCCCAAAAATCCAATTGAACGTTTCTGGGTTGCTCTAGAGGCCGACAGGGCCCAGCCCTAATTATCAAAGTAGCTCATTTTGCCTCAACTTTGAGACCCAATGACGTGTTGGTTAAACATGGAGAAAACACGAGAGAGATTTACTAAGTGGGTCTTCTTTTACGTTTATACACATGAAAATTGTTAGACACAACAACGTAGAGGAGTTGAATAGGTTAATTGAAATTAAGGCTCGGACAATCACATGTTTTTAATCTAAACGAAATCAATTACCAAATTCAATAATGAATTTATTAATTAGCACTTTGCACCAACAAGAATAATCCTGCTATGTAAATGAATAGATTATTACATAGAGAATTGTGAAGGGAGACACAAAATTAGATTTATTGGTTTTAAAGTATGTAACTCTTAATGTTAGATTATTTAGTTATCGTTTTTCTAACTTTATTGTGTCCAAATACACATTTTGATTTTTTTTTAAAATTTTTATTTGACATATTTACCCTCCTTTAAATCATGCATATTCCATTTGACAATTATTTTATTTTTTGAATTTGTTCTATATATATGGATAGATTTCCTATTTTAAAGGAAGAATTATATTATTAGAAGATTTGCATTTAACGTTGATTCAGTATATATCAACCATTTTGAATTTTGAATCCACTCCCTTCAACCCGATTATTGTTCGTGCTTGCATTTTTGAGCTCGGGCTTCCTTCTTGCGTTTTACAACTCAGGTTGGAAGTAAGATTCCATTCGCCTTAAGCATTAATTTGAATCTCGATTTATACAATTTGAGCTAGAATTTAAGGTAGATCCCAAGAACTTAAGACTCAAATCCTAGTACTATTCCATTTCAACCAATTTCAGATATTTTTACTCAAGCCCAACTCTTTTTTATTTTTGAGATAGAGGTGTCCGGATCAACTTAAGCACATCTCGAGTAATCCTCTCTCCAGGTCGGTTGAAGTCAGACCATCTACATCGGGACTAAGGTTTTTATGAGGGATAAATCTCTCATAACTTAACCTTAAGGAGTTGCAAAGATTCAAAATCAGAACGTCTGAATTTACAACTCGTCTATATTACCGTTTGAACTACCCTAAGAGTTACCCAAGCCCAACTCGAATATTAGAAATCTTTGCCCAACAACATAGTATTTCAGNTATTTATGAAGGATAAATCTCTCATAACTTAACTTTAAGGAGTTGCAAAGATTCAAAATCAGAACGTCTGAATTTACAACTCGTCTATATTACCGTTTGAACTACCCTAAGAGTTACCCAAGCCCAACTCGAATATTAGAAATCTTTGCCCAACAACATAGTATTTCNTTTTTATGAGGGATAAATCTCTCATAACTTAACCTTAAGGAGTTGCAAAGATTCAAAATCAGAACGTCTGAATTTACAACTCGTCTATATTACCGTTTGAACTACCCTAAGAGTTACCCAAGCCCAACTCGAATATTAGAAATCTTTGCCCAACAACATAGTATTTCAGGATGTACTCAGGTGAAATTTTATGGTTAACCTGTCCGAGTTGCCCTCTTTATTGTATTGCTCTTGTTTGGCTCATAATCCAGGTAACCAGTGGTTGAGTACTTGTGATGAATCTTGTTCTAGTACCAGATTCTCTTATTTCCTTCAATGTTAGAGTGACACTAAGAATCTAAGTAGGCCTTTCACCAACACAAAATTTATTATATAATGATGGGACATTTTCGGAATACTCCAAGATGAAGACACGTGNCTCTTTATTGTATTGCTCTTATTTGGCTCATAATCCAGGTAACCAGTGGTTGAGTACTTGTGATGAATCTAGTTCTAGTACCAGATTCTCTTATTTCCTTCAATGTTAGAGTGACACTAAGAATCTAAGTAGGCCTTTCACCAACACAAAATTTATTATATAATGATGGGACATTTTCGGAATACTCCAAGATGAAGACACGTGTCTTCGGTGTCACTGATCCTTGTTTATCGAGATCACGTACCCATCGGGTCACAAGTCCCTCTACCCCGAGGTACTTATCATGGGATCGAGTGACATTCAGTACGGTTTTATGTACCGACACGTACCCTCGGTCTGATATGGTACATCAGTCCCTAGGCCTCCCCCCTCTCGGATTCAAGATGTACCTCTTCCTCGGTTCCGAGATGTANTAAGATGTACCTCTTCCTCGGTTCCGAGATGTACCCCCTCCTCTCATCCATGATGAAGTTCTCTGCTCCAGCAGAGGTTATTGATGCACTGGTCANCCTCTCATCCATGATAAAGTTCTCTGCTTCAGCAGAAGTTATTGATACACTGGTCACTAGCCTAGGCTAAGCTAGGTTAGCTATCATGACCTCGTCTTACACAATTGGTGTTAGAAGGCACAGGAAGACAGAGGCCACAACCAATGAGGAATGGACGCGTGGCATATTGTGTCACATTAGAGACAGAAAAACCGCATGACCTTGCTGACACGCGACTTGGGAGAACAGGCATTTAATTACACCATTNTTAGAGACAGAAAAATCGCATGACCTTGCTGACACGCGACTTGGGAGAACAAACATTTAATTACATCATTCCCTTGATGAGACTGCATTCAATGCGGTAAGGCTCAGAAGTGAAAGGCAATAAATATCTCTAAGGCTGGNTGGGAGAACAGGCATTTAATTACACCATTCCCTTGATGAGACTGTATTCAGTGCGGTAAGGCTCAGAAGTGAAAGACAATAAATATCTCTAAGGCTGAGCATTTATTGCATCCTCCCCGAGAGGAGCTCATTGAACCGTCGGCAGGCCAATGACACAGACTTGATTGTTCGGGGTCCCGAGCAGTTAAGAGAGAAAACATTCCTCATAGGAATTAGTGTGCACGTTGCATGTATCTAATGATCACCTACTGACCACATTGACAACAAATCATGAGTATTTGAGGTATAAATACTCCTCACTAAAGGCAAGAACGGAAGGTGAAACTTTTGCTATAAATTATACTCAGTGTTTTCTTCTTCCTCTCTCTAAAAAACTGACTTGATCGTCGGAGGGGATACGCCGAAAAATACTCCGGCGCCCTCCTAACTTGTTCCAGGAACCTTTCTTCAACCTTACTGGATCGTTCCTTTGATCAGCGAAGGTCTCCCATTACCGTTCCAGGTTACCACTGGATCTCACAGGTTGTTCCAAGCAGCGTGGTTGACCACTCAACTGACTCACTCGAATTCACCAAGGGAGAGATCTGTTCTCGTTTTTATATTGTGCAAGATCTAGCACGCACANAAGAACGGAAGGTGAAACTTTTGCTATAAATTATACTCAGTGTTTTCTTCTTCCTCTCTCTCAAAAACTGACTTGATCGTCGGAGGGGATACGCCAGAAAATACTCCGGCGCCCTTCTAACTTGTTCTTCTTTGTTCCAGGAATCTTTCTTCAGCCTTACTGGATCGTTCCTTTGATCCGCGAGAGTCTCTCATTACCGTTTCAAGTTACCACTGGATCTCACAGGTTGTTCCAAGCAGCGTGATTGACCACTCAACTGACTCACTCGAGTTCACCAAGGGAGAGATCTGTTCTCGTTTTTATATTGTGCAAGATCTAGCACGCACAATAAAAATAATAAATAGACAAATAAACTTAATTTCTTTGCATTGCATTATATAGATGATCTAGTTATTTAGATTATGTAAAATTTAGTTGCATGATTGATAGGTTTTTATTATACTGTGATATTACCCGGTAATAATAATAATATATTATCACTATTATATTTAAGGGTGTCAATCGTGTCGTATTCGTGTGACCTACATATTATATTATTCATGTTGTGTCATTATTATTCGTGTCGTATTTGTGTCAAGTCTCACAAAAAAAATAATTTATTTAGTATGTTTTGAGTATTAAACATTACTTTAAATTATTTATTATGCGTGTTTAATAATTATATTNTGTGGTTCCTAACATTTTTAATTTAAGTGAAGAATAGTTCAACCGAAAACGATGGTTGAGGGTCGCATATTTTAAGAATCGCTAATGTATTTTTATATATTAAGAGGTCTCTTTGTAATTAACGCAAAGTGATTGGAATTGGCAAAAATTTGAAAATTTTCTATCAGACAAGGAAAGACTAGGTTAACGCGGACAGATTCGTACTGAAAATTTTAATTTTTTAAGATTAAATTATAATTTTGTTAAGATGTAAGTTATAAGGATATAATCAATACTGAGAGTTTATGATCGATTATGGACATCTGTAATTGACTTATGATCAATCATGACATTCTTTTTAACAATTATAATGTCCCGTTCTAAAATTATAATTTCATCGTAAAAANTTTGGTTCCTAACATTTTTAATTTAAGTGAAGAATAGTTCAACCGAAAACGATGGTTGGGGGTCGCATATTTTAAGAATCGCTAATGTATTTTTATATATTAAGAGGTCTCTTTGTAATTAACGCAAAGTGATTGGAATTGGCAAAAATTTGAAAATTTTCTATCAGACAAGGAAAGACAAGGTTAACACGGACAGATTCGTATTGAAAATTTTAATTTTTTAAGATTAAATTATAATTTTGTTAAGATATAAATTATAAGGATATAATCAATATTGAGAGTTTATGATCGATTATGAACATCTATAATTGACTTATGATCAATCATGGCATTCTTTTTAACAATTATAATGTCCCGTTCTAAAATTATAATTTCATCGTAAAAAATAATAACCGACCATACATATCATTTCCATCAATAGCATCCAAACAAACGCATATTTGGGTGAGAAAAAAGGGCATTTTGGTACATATGAGGTTCGGTTTTACAGGTAATTTCGTTGGACGGACATGCACGGAACAGTACATTCCTTCGGGTACCTCTTTTTGGGATCTTCCTAAGTTGTCACACAATGAAAACCGTTTATTAGGCAACCTCCTCGCCCTTCTCTCTCTCTCTCTCTCCATATCCATGTTCCTCCCCCACCCCCATTCTCTTCTTTGGTTCTCCTTTCTTTGACTGCTCTTGATTCGTTAATTTCCCATTCCAATCGGAATCTCTGGCTCTGTGTGTGTGTGTTTATGAGTTGATTTCGATTGAAATAATTCTTCTGCTATGTCTATTTGAATCATAAAAGCAATACAGGCCTTTTTGGGTTTTAACCCAATTAGGATTTGGTCAACCTTTACGTCTCTTTTTCTTTCGTGTCTTTTCTCTTTTTCTTCATTGGGTAATTATGGGTTTTGAATTTGTGTTTCTGGGTATTTTCCCTTTTCTTGGTTAACTTTGTGTTGGAGGGTCTTTGGGCTTTGTCGCCTTCTTAGGGTTTACCATTCATTTTTATTAAATGTTATTGGGTTTGGGGTTTCATTGGCAAAAAAGAGATGGTTGGTGATAAGAAAGTTAGGGTTTTGAATTGCTGAAAAGTCAATTTCTTTTTTTTTTTCCTCATATTTTTATTGGTCAGGGTCCTGGGGTCAATAGTGGAGGCAATTGTTATTGCCGTCTTGGAATCGGGTCGTTATATTTGGTTTTTATAGGATTAGTTGTTTTCTGCTTCATTTGATTGAGGTATGACCTGATGAAGCTTGTTTTTTTCTTGCATTGTTATTGTAGAATTTTCGAATCGACTACATGTCTTGTTTTGATTTAATTGTCTGACTTGTTAAACGAATTTTCACATTTGGCAACCATTGATGATGATGATGAAAAGTTTATAGTTTGTGTTGATCAAGCCTTCCTAGAAATTACCAACATATCATTTGTAGCTGGGTTTAGTTTCTTTTGATTGGTTTACTTGATTTTTATCATTCGGAATTTCAGTTGTTACTGTAGTTGTGGATTTGGATTATTTGTTATACCATCTGGATTGTTGAAAATGGATTCGAAAACAAGTGAGCAAGGTGGAGATGTTCCAAAAACACGGAATTTGGACGATCAAGAGGGGCGTTTGAACTCAAAAATGAAAGGAGTTGGAAGTCTTAGCGAGAAAAGTATATCGATGAAGGGTCCGGGAAATCTTAGTAGCAAAGATATGATATTTAGAGCTGATAAAGTTGATCTCAAAAACTTGGATGTTCAGCTGGAGAAGCACTTGAGTCGAGTTTGGTCAAGAAACACAGAGTCTCAAAAGCCTAAGGAAGTTTGGGAGATTGATCCATCTAAGCTGGATATAAGATACCTTATAGCTCAGGGCACTTATGGGACTGTGTATCGGGGTACTTACAATAACCAAGATGTTGCAGGTACAAACCCTCTTTTCCTCTTTATTAGACTACATATTTGCTTAATCCTCCGCCAACTGTCAGGGAACTCAAAGGGTTATTGTATGATGCCATACCCTTCTCTCTGTCTGGGGCAATTGTTACTTTAATTTGAGCCATGATCTTTGTTGTAAGTGGCGAATAAACTTAGTTGTTACTCCCTATTTGCTTCATTCAACATTAGCTGCATAAAATTATGCAAGTGCATATAAAGCACGATTTATGGATCTGGTTATCGTCGGGTGTCCTTGGTAGCTGTCACTGTGTAATTTATTCTAGAAATTGCTTTTTTTGCCTGTTTGAATTATGAAGCAACAAACTAAAAGGGCTAAGAACAAAACTGAAGCATGTCGATTATCTCATTAGGTTCTGCTTAGACATACAGGAGTGTTGTTTAAGGTAAAAGAAGGAAAAGTAGGACAACTCCAATTGTATGAACTGGTAATTGCAAAAACACTTCTGGCATCTTATTGTAACAAAAAGAAGGGGCCAGCCTAGTGCACGAGCTCCCACCACTGTGAGGTTTGGGAAGTGTTTTCTTATTGTAATACTGCAAGTGTTTTCAATTTAATTAATTGGGATGTACACATTACAAACATTAGTGTTATTATTGCAGGGGTTATCCATGACTGGAGCTAACTAGTCTGATGCCTTCATAGTTCAACTATTAAAGCTGAGAGAAGAGTACACACAGATTAGTCATGGAAGACAATATTAAGAGTGTGAAAGAGCAGTAGTTTGAGCACAGAGGACAAATTTATAAATGTTACTCTTTTGTAAGAAATGGGCCTTGACCTGGCAGTGTTCTAGTTAATAGCCTATAGCCTATAGGTCTAAGCTCGTGTACTATGTAATCTCTTCAAATCACATAACTTCCTGTGACTACACTCTTAAAAAATAAGGAATGTTCAGTTTCTGATTCCTTCTGTATCATACTGGCGTGCTGCAATTTCAAGTTTTGGACACTGTCATACTGCAATTCGAATTTTCTTTGCATATGTTGTTCCTTTAGGAGGAAAAAACTGTTGGAGTTACAGTAATATATTTCTTGTACATTTGTTATAAGCATGGTTAAAATAAAGAATAGGAACTTTCTTTATGTTTGAAAAAGAAATTTGGGAGTTTAGAAGAGCATTTCTCATCAAAACAGTCATGCCCTTCAAATCTTGTTGCAGATGCATTTTTTTTTCCCTTCTCCCTGAGGTTTCATAACTCAGGCATACATGATAGATAATCATTCGATATATGGCTGTAGTATTTTCTTTGGAGACTTCATTTTTTCTGATGGTCTTTCATATGTTGAATGTGCTTCTAAGTAGTTGTGTATGCTGTCTAGCTTATGTCTTTTGGTATTTTGAAAATGAACATAGGTGTAATTTTTAGTTTTTTCATTCAAATCACATCTTATAACAGTATTGGCTGTGCTCTAATATACCAATGAAAGCTCCCACGTTATGCTTATGTGAATCATAGCAATCCTGAGGCATTACATTTGGAGCTAGAAACATCATTTTTTGTAAGAGTGATTATTGATAGTGTTGAGAAGGACAGGCTGAAGAAATATTTGGTGTTAAAAACAAACGCTGACGGAAAATGTAACTAGCTGAAATTTGGATTCCTGTAAAAGATTTGCAAATGAAGTGTGATTGGGTGACGCAGTGAAAGGGAAGCACGCGTTTTCGTTGACATTGACTAATTATTTTTCGACTTTGCAATCTTGTGATGCAGACAAACTACTGATATGTGTTGAACTTCTTTAAGTACAATCATAAAGAAAGCAGCATATAAATCAAGCAGGGGAAATTAATAAAATTTTGAAGCATGTTTGGCATGTTGTCTAGTTGTTCAATATACAATGGATGCATGAGAGCCGCATTTGAGAAACTGCAGCTAAATTGGCTGCTATTAAAGTTGAAAGCACTTTCTTTTCATTAATGGAACAATATCCCTTCGAGGGTTTGTCTATTCCTCTTTATGTGTGAGTTTATATAGACTTCCTTACTGCACTGTTCTCTTATATTTTAATAGTGAAGCTGTTGGACTGGGGCGAGGATGGCTTGGCCACAACTGCTGAAACTGCTGCTTTGCGAACATCATTTCAGCAAGAGGTTTCCGTTTGGCATAAGCTTGACCATCCAAATGTCACAAAAGTATGATTTTGAATCCAAAGTTTTTTTCCTGGGCAAATTAGTTGTCATTATCCTGAGCATTATATGTGCTTTTCACAAAATTTATTTCCTTTTGTATGTTTACTGGCAAGGAGTTCCCTCTGTAATTTTTTGCTGGGCAATCTAAATCTTTTTCTGTTGACTTCCCTACTGGTAAATACTGTTGACGATTTTGCATATAATTGCTTGCAGTTTGTTGGTGCTTCAATGGGGACTTCGAATCTTAAGATTCCTTCTAAAAACCCTTCCACTGATGGTTATATTAACCTACCATCAAGGGCATGTTGTGTGCTTGTGGAATACCTCTCAGGCGGGACACTGAAAAACCTCTTATACAAAAATAGGAAAAAAAAACTTCCCTTTAGGATTGTGATTCAACTTGCTTTGGATCTCTCTAGAGGGTGAGTTTCTATTTGAAGTATATCTAGCTGCAGTTTCCTTTAATGTAACGGTTGTGTTAATTTTCCAGATTGAGCTATCTACATTCGAAAAAGATTGTGCATCGTGATGTCAAAGCCGAAAATATGTTGCTAGATGCTCATAGAACTCTAAAAATTGCTGATTTTGGTGTTGCTCGTGTTGAAGCCCAGAATCCTCAGGACATGACTGGTGAAACTGGAACCCTAGGGTACATGGCCCCAGAGGTAATCATGCTTTCTGACAAGCTATCATGGAGTGAAAACAGTTCTTCACCAGACTTAGTGATGTGGTTGAGTCTTCTTTGCTGAAGATCTCCTCCTTTTTCTTCCCTTTTCCTTTACTTTATATTCTTTGATTCTTTCTTCTTCCTGCTGGGCTTATGGGGTTGGAAGACTACATGCACACCCTTAGCTATGCAACAGTTATCTCACCCACCTCCACCTGTTGGGTGGGTCTCTCTGCTAATCCACAAGGCTGCAACATTTGTGGAGCAAAGCCCTTGAAATAACATCCTAACTAAAGCTTGTTGGCTTCTAACGGGTCCCAAAATAAATCAAAAACTGCGAGTGATGCCTTCTCGCATTATCGCGATGATAGAGGCTGGGTTGGGTGGATCTGGTATTGTGCTGCATGGTCCTTTTTGGTGGGCTAACAGCAACATTGGCTTCGTTGAAATGGAATTTATGTATACAATCAAACCATGTATTGCTTATTATTATACTATTTTAAACATTTGGACCCGAAATAAATCAGACCCAATTTGATTTGGAGTACAATAATTTTTTGCTCTCTCTCTGTTGCTCTCATATATAGAAGAGACATTAAGTGATGTACTTTTTGTAGGTTCTTGATGGCAAACCATATAACAGAAAATGTGATGTCTACAGCTTTGGTATATGCTTGTGGGAAACCTATTGCTGTGATCTGCCTTACCCAGATCTTAGCTTTGCTGAAGTTTCATCAGCAGTTGTTCGGCAGGTTGGTTGGCAAGTTTATCAAGTCATTTCACTCTGTAATACTGCATATTTTTTGCTGATTGATGCATCAATTCATGTATTAGCAGTTGATTTGTGCGATGCATGTTGAAAACGAATGCAGAACACATGATTTTTCTCTTTAAAGTATGAAAAACTGGATACTGACATTATTGGAATTGCATTAGTTGTAACTCAAACGTAAAATTAAGATCACAAGAATTCGACAATTAGCAAAAAGAGTAAAGTTACGTAATGCTTATTGAGTTTTATAAATTACTTATAAACTAGCAATGACCTTGTGCGTACAAAGACTCTACAATACCAAAAATTAAATATTGATCGTGCAAAATTTATGTTTTAAATAATAATTTATTTATTTTTTCCTTTCTTTAAATACACAATTTAAAATTAAAGTGAACAGGAAGAAAATAAGAGAGAGGTAAGGAAGGGAGAAAAAAGACGTAGGTGTGGATTAATGAGATTGTTTGACGGGTGTTTGTTGGTTGAGTTGTCTGACATTGAAGGTAATGTAGAGAAGAAGATGCTTGTGTGAGCGGGAAATTTTTTTTAAGATGACTTTTGTACAATTGGATCAAAGTAGATTGAAATTGGATTAATCTTGATCGTTGTCGTGCTTTTATAAGTTGAGAATTCAACTTCTTAGCTATAGCCTATAGTATTAGACAGATGTAACGTTGAAGTGACGATAAATTTTATTGAAGTAAATCTTCGCTGTAACCAGTTTTACATTCATGTTCTTCATGGAAGTTTGATATTGTATGTCTATATTTTCAGAATTTGAGGCCAGAAATCCCCAGATGTTGCCCAAACGCCTTAGCAAACGTTATGAAAAAATGCTGGGATGCAAATCCAGAAAAACGTCCGGACATGGATGAGGTTGTGAGGTTGTTGGAATCAATTGATACAAGCAAAGGAGGAGGAATGATACCGGAAGACAAGGCTGGTGGCTGTTTTTGCTTTGCTTCGGCTCGGGGTCCGTAACTCATTTATATCTGCCAATAACTTTGTTTTGTGAAGCCATCCATTGAAATTGTTGGAGATTTTCTTATGAATGCTATAAACATGGTTTTGCATAGTTCATAATAATCGATTGAAGTTCTTCATCTTATGTTTGATCATTTGCAAAATCATAATCTAGTTAAACACTAGGTGCATCATGTTGGATACACCAATCTTGTAGGATCCTGTGTTAGTTGTGAAAACACTAGAAATCAAAATATTGATCCCTCCTTGTTGATCTTCAGTAGTATTGTTAATTGACTTTGAAACGCGGCGGTCCTCTACGACAATCCTTTGCAGGTTGCCCTTTTGAATTGTGATAAATGAACCTTTGTTGGTTAGAACACAGTCTAGAGAATAGAAATCAGCCAAAATTTGCTGGTTTTCAATGTGCTTCTTCCCTTGCATTCTCTGTGGGATTGTAATGCCTTGTGAACAAAACCCGGTGAGCTTAGTGGCAGTAAATTTTGCTCGCGTTGGAAATTTGCAGAATTTTGTTAGTATCAAAGACGCAGGAGTATGGTGTTTCTGAAACCATTTTCTATATGATTCTGGTTGTTGGGGTATCTGCTATGGCAGCAATGCACTCTCTGGGGGTTATGTTCAAAGTGTAAAATTCTCCTGGAGTGCACTTCTAATGATGCATCCATTTAGCCCAAAATTTTGACAAATAGCCTGTCCGTGCCCGTGCCCGTGCCCGTACCCGTGCTTATATTAAGATGGGCCAATCGTATGCCGACACTAATAGGCCAGGGGAGACTACAAAATAATTTATAATTGTAATATATAATATAAAATTCAGGTTGTGTTAATTTCGTATTTGGCAGATTCTTAATGTGTTTATCACAAATCATCTAAATTTGTCTTTTCCTAATTCCATGCCGATCCATGGGTCATGTCTAAAATTGCCATAGTATATAATGCCATAATATGATTAAGGGAAAATTTCAGTTATATCCTTCTACTTTATCATATATTTATGAACACTTCCTCTAATACCGAAAATATCACTAATATGTCTTTTAATTTATATTTAAACATCACTAACACACCTGTTGTTAAATCACCGTTTCTAAAAAAAAAAATTCATCTAAAATACCAAAATTAACCCTACATAAACCCAAACAATCTTTCTAATAAAATTTGAACCGATTAAAATTTATTTTTTTACATAATAAAATTTGAATCGATTAAAATTCATTTTTTTATATATTAAAGTTAGAACCGATTAGGATCCAAGTCTTACCTGGATGGTTAGAGTCCTCTGTAGACTATAATGGAGTAGCAGGTTGATGGTTTGAGTTTTCCTTTCCCTCGCCCTCCTTTGTAGTGTAAAAAATATCGTTGTCTATAAAAATAAAAATAAAAATTGAGTCAATTAAAATTCGATTCGAGTTGATTACATTTTATTTTATTTTTTACGTATTAAAAATCAAGTCTATTCAAAATTATTTTTTATATATTAAATTTTGAGCCTATTTCAACTCTACGTGAGTTGTTAGCGTCGATTAAAATCCTCTTGGAATTGATTAAAATTTATGTTTTTTTACTTATTAAAATTTGTGTCAATTAAAATTCGATATAAGTTGATTAAAATTTATTTTTTACATATTAAAATTTGAGTCGATTAAAATTTATATTTTTTATGTATCAAAATTTAGTTCGATTAAAATTCAATTTAAATTGATTAAAGTTTAATTCGATTCAATTAAAATTTTAATATGTAAAAAAAATTTAATTTTGAATCAACTTGAATTTTAATGCTAAAAAATAAATTTTAATTAACTCAAATTAAATTTTAATATATCCGAGCTTTAATACGTAAAAAAAATTTAAAAAACAAAGGGGTTTCATTGAAAATATACTTATTTAAAAGGCGTGCGGATGAAGGTTTTTTTTTAAATATATCATAGAAAATTTAGTAAAATTACATTTTAGTTAACTCCTTTAAGCTGATAGGAAGTGTTAGTGAAGATTTAAAAAATAGAAGAGATGTCTCTGAAGATATGATAAATTAGAAGGGGTTGGCTGAAATTTTCTCAATGATTAAGGCCTTTAGTTTTCGGAAATTATTTTTTATTATCAAAATTTCAAAAACACCTAAAACATGTTCGTTTAGCATTTTTATTCTCTAAATTTTGGAAAAAAAAAATGAAATTTGAGTCAAAAAAACAAAAAACAAGTGTAGCTTATTTTCAGAGTTTGATTTGAAAATTTTGGAAATAAGAAAAATAATTTTGGATATTCAGATATGAGTATATATATATATATTATGAAATTTTTAATATAAAAATAACTTTTTTATATTTTTTTTATTAATATTTGAATTATTGTTCAAATATATACTTAGACAGTCCAAATAAGTTTTCTATTTTTTATATTGTAAAATTATTTTTAAAATCATCTAATCAAATAAATTTTTTATATCAAAAAATATTAAAATCACTTTCTTAAAAATTTTCTCAAAAACTGGACTTCTGGTGCTGTGGACTTTGGAAATAGTTCCCACAGCTCAACCGAATAGAGGCACTCCAAGGCTCCAACCTAATAAGAGACCCGCCAACAGTTTGATACTTTCTGTATAGGCAGTTGCTGCCTGCTAAATTATACAAAACAACCAATGACCACCACCAGCCTTTCTTTCTCTCCGCTTATCTCCACCACCGGCACCATCACCATCACCATCACCGACAATGTCAGTCTTGCAACCCCAACCGATTCCGAACACATCATCACCAAACTTCCTTCTGTGCTTGGGTCGCTTAAGTTGTGCAAAAACATGGATGAAATCAAACAATTACACGCCTACATCACAAAGAAAGGCCTCAATCACATCCCAACCAAACTAGTTGCGAAGTACGCAGAAATTGGCACGCCTGAAAGCTTAGAATACGCCAAAAAAGCTTTTGAAGCATGTAATGACAATGAAAAAACTGCTAATAATCGCTACATGTTGAATTCTTTGATCAGAGGCTCTTCTTCAGCTGGATTTTGTGACGAGGCTATTTTGCTTTACATAGAAATGGTGGTGTATGGTATTAGACCTGACCACTATACGTTTCCGTTCGTTTTGAGTGCCTGTGCGAAGGGTTTGACATTCTTTGAGGGAATTCAGGTTCATGGGTCAGTTGTGAAAATGGGTTTAGAAGAAGATGTGTTTATACAGAATTCTTTGATACATTTTTATGGCGAGTGTGGTGAGGTTGATCTTGGGAAGAAAGTGTTTGACGAAATGTGTGAGAGAAATGTTGTGTCTTGGACTAGTTTGATTTGTGGATATGCAAGGAGGGACAAGCAGAAGGAGGCTGTTTCTTTGTTTTTGGAAATGGTGGAGGAGGGTATAGAACCTAATTCGGTAACGATGGTGTGTGTGATCTCTGCTTGTGCAAAGTTGAGAGATTTGGAGTTGGGAGAAAGAGTGTGTGCTCATGTTGGAGATTCAGGGCTTAAGGTAAACACAGTTATGGTAAATGCACTTGTTGATATGTATATGAAATGTGGTGCCATTGATAAGGCAAAGAGGCTCTTTGATGAATGTGTTGATAGAAATTTAGTTCTTTACAATACAATTTTGTCAAATTATGTCCGCCAAGGTATGGCAAAGGAAGCTGTTGCTGTTTTGGATGAAATGGTACGGCAAGGACCACAACCGGACAAGGTTACTATGCTGTCCGCCATCTCAGCTTCTGCTGAACTAGGTGATTTTTCATTGGGAAAGTTATGTCATGGTTATGTTTTGAGGAATGGGTTGGAGATTTGGGAGTGTGTTAGCAATGGCGTTATTGATATGTACATGAAGTGTGGCAAACAAGAATTGGGTCGCAGAGCTTTTCATGGGGTGTTGAACAAGACCATTGTCTCATGGAACTCGTTAATTGCAGGTTTGATAAGAAATGGTGATGTTGAGTCTGCTTGGACAGTGTTCAACTATATGCCAGAGAGAGATGTTGTGTCTTGGAACACCATAATTAGTGCTTTGATACAAGAGAGCTTATTTGATGATGCAATTGAACTTTTTCGTGTCATGCAGAGTCAAGGAATAAAAGCAGACCAAGTTACAATGGTGAGTGTTGCATCTGCCTGTGGATATTTAGGAGCTCTTGATCTTGCTAAGTGGACATATACATACATAAAAGAGAATGAAATTCCATGTGATATGAGGCTTGGTACAGCTCTGGTCGATATGTTTGCTAGGTGTGGCGATCCTCATAACGCAATACGAGTGTTCAATAACATGAAGGAGAGAGATGTTTCTGCTTGGACTGCAACCATTGGGTCAATGGCCATGGAAGGAAATGGAGAACGAGCAGTCGAGCTTTTCTATGAGATGCTCAGGCAAGGAGTGAAACCTGATGAAGTCATATTTGTGGCAGTACTGACAGCGTGCAGCCATGGAGGATTAGTAGAACAGGGCAAACATATTTTTGGTGCAATGCAAGAAACTCACGGAATTTCCCAACAAATTGTCCATTACGGGTGCATGGTTGATTTGCTTGGCCGAGCAGGGTTGTTGGGGGAAGCTCTTGATCTCATTAAGAGCATGCCTATGGAGCCTAATCATGCAGTTTGGGGGGCTCTTTTATCTGCTTGCAGAGTACACAAAGATGAGAAAATGGCGGCTTACGCAGTTGGGATGATGAATGATTCAGTTCATGAAAGGACTGGGATTCATGTACTTCTTTCAAACATATATGCTTCTGCTGGAAAATGGACTGATGTTGCCAGAGTGAGGCTTCGCATGAAGGAGAAAGGGATTCAGAAAGTACCCGGATCAAGCTCAGTTGAGGTTAACGGAGTAGTTCATGAGTTTACTTCAGGTGATGAATCACATCAAGAGATAGCCCTTATTACCCCAATGCTACATGAGATGAACTGCAGGCTCAGAGAGTCTGGTCATGTTCCTGACCTAAGTAACGTTCTGCTAGATGTGGATAAGCGAGAGAAAGAATTCTTGCTCAGCCGACACAGTGAGAAACTAGCCATTGCCTTTGGGCTCATCAGTACCGGTCAAGGGACGTGCATTCGTGTTATTAAGAATCTTCGGATGTGTTCTGATTGCCACTCGTTTGCAAAATCGGTGTCCAAAATATATGATCGAGAAATTGTCATTCGAGATAACAACAGGTTCCACTTTTTCCGGCGTGGGTTGTGCTCTTGCAGTGATTACTGGTAATGCAAAAAGAAAAAAGAAACCATATGCATCATGTCTATAACAGCTGTTCATTTTTTCAACAAGTACATACTGTGTAAAGAAAATTTGAATAGTTGCTCCAAAGTGTCAATGGGGTATGTCTTGCTTCTCTCCATAGAATATAGATGGATGTTGTGGCATGTATTATAACACATACTCCTGCATTCCGAAAATTGAGGAAGAAATTGACGAATAAAAAAGAATTTATCTCAGCCGGAATTAATATTGTACAGTCTAAAACATGTCTGCAAATGTTAGCATCTGATAATCCAACAAGCATTAACGTGGGCACACAAATGACCTAACCGGATGAGCTTTGCAGTTGTGGAAAAATGGGATCGATGAAAGCATGATGCATGGGGTCAGCCAGCCAGAGTGTAGCTAGATGATGATGAGATGAAGTGAGCCGGTGAACTTCTTCAATGAGCCAGATACTGGTTTCAGCTTTACAAGGATGAATAATTGTATCCAATGTCCTGTATTCATCCTCAGCGCCAATCCTCAGTTGATCCCAATGTTTTAGTCGAATGTTAGTGAGGTAATGTAGGGGTTGCCCATACAACTGCTTAATGGATTTCCCTAATCCTGTCCATGAGGTAAATGGAATTACAGAGCCACGGTGGGATGGTATTGGGATCTGCTTCATGTATTCTTGATACATTTGAGCCCTTCTCATCACTGCATCTGCATTATCAAGGACAATTTATGCAACAGTGGTAATGAGAGAAAGTAGGGAAGCCCGGTGAAGAATTTAAGATACCATCATCACATAGCAACCAGGAATCAACAAAGGAATGCAAGCGTCCGTAATGCTAAAAGAAACTTAGTTTCAAGTTAGGGATGTGAGATTGATGAGATCAACATTTACACATGAGCTGAAAGTTTTTTAGGAGATTCCTACACCAAAACCAATTACTAAATCAATGGTCATCAGCAACTCTATCTCTCACATTTTCTGCATATTGATTCATATGTAACATTGGACAAGTTTCCTGAATGGAGAACTTGAATCGCTCATATAGCCAGCCTCATAATCAGCTTAAACAGAAGTCACAACAATTTGAACATAAAAACATAATTTGTAGAAGAACATAAAAAAGAAACATGAATCGTATTGCTCTCTGATAACTGTAAAACTACTAGGCTAAGAAGTGATGCCAATACCTTCAGATATCATTTCTTTGGCAGGTTCATTAATTTTCAAACTATTCCCCGACTGCTTCCCACCGATATCTTTATCTTCGTCAGAGGAAGAAGATTCATCTGATGATAAATCCACTTGATCATTAAATGGCATTGGCCTCTTCATGATCTTTAATATGCAATCCTGGGAAGAAATACCACATACCAATGTTCAGAACAGCAAGACCCTTCATAGTGTTGAGCAAAATATTAAGTACACAAATATATTGAAACCATAACATTGCAACACGATACACATATAAGCATGCCTGCATACCAAACCTGAGGAAACACATAAACGAACCGAAAACAATAAACTGCCTCCCATCAAACCATAAGCATTACTATAATTAAATTCACAACATGGAAATAACAAGTATATTCAGTTGGCATGATTTTTGATACCAACTATATATAGTGCACGCATAAACCTTGAATTAGAAAAAAGGGCGTTCACCAACTTTTCAAACACACGAGGAATTTAGGATCATATTCTTAGTTCTACATTTATTTTGCATTGAGGCTATGTGCCTCAGCCCAAAACAATATCGCCATTGAGTTAGGTTTCCTTTTTTATGTTTCCAATTATTTCCATTCACCTCCAGCTTTTATACCAAAAGATGCGCAGTATCTGCTGCATTATTATAAATGCCCCCTCTTTCCAAACAAGAATATTCAAAGTAACGGCCCCCCATCATCTTTTTTGAACATGGAACACCGAGAAATTAATAAATAAGTTGATTTAGGTGAATGAAACAATATAAGAGTAAGTGAATCCCACAAAATTCAGTAACTATCCCTCCAAGTAATACAAGCACCACCCATGTCAAGAAGTGTGATTCACTTTGAACAGTAGTTGCATTACCCGTGGTAGGTGCTGACCGTACCGTATTGCGAGCATTGGTTCTTGGAACATTGGCCATTCTCGGTGATGGGCATGTGGTGACACGTATGGTGATGACGTTATATCACTGTTACATTCAATATCTACTCCCCCAAATCACACACACACTCACACACACACAAAAGCAGCATCATAAAATTCACTACTAAGATATAATATTAATAGATTTAAGCAGTAGCAATCGCAATAAAGATGGTAGGTGCACTATATGAGTACCACGAATAAAACCCAACACATTCCAAAGAAATTGAGTAAGTGGCAATTCAGCAAGAAAATTTCCAAACGAAAGCAAGCTGACTGATAAACAAGATTTAATCACATTTTTTTTTAGAAATTTCAACTGGCGAATTTGAAGTTCAAATATATGATTAGCTTGACTGGTAAGTGGTATCCCATATCACCCTGAGATTCTTTAACTGCAAGGCATTCAAAAAAAAAAAACCCTAGGTTTTGAATCTGAATAAACAGGACTTACAATGAAATTGAAGACCTGAATAGAAAGATTGTAGAGCGAATCTGTAGAGATTTCCGATCGAAAACCTTAAAAAATCGAAGATTAGAATAGCTGAGAGGACAAATCTCTGTAAGTCTCTCTCTCTCTCTCTCTCTCTCTCTCTCTCTCCCTCTCTCCATGCAATGACTAGATGAAGGCGTATGTTGGGAGTATAAATTATGGTGCAGTATACGGTTTGTGGGAATGGGGCGGGGGGCTGAGTTGGAGCATTTGCAGGTAATCTCGGATTCTGTTTTTAAAAAATAATATAAAATACCCTAAGAGAAAGTTTAAGGACTCTGGTTAAAATAGTTAATCAAAATATATAATTTTATATTATATTATTTATTTTAAAAAGTCACTTGTACTCAGCCTAACAACATTTTCTATTTTAACTAATTTCAACTAATCCAAACATATATACATAGATAAATAGAGGTGTAGTTCTCTCCATCCAACCCAAATAGACCGAAGACAGAAAGTGGGGGTGTTCATTTTACCAAACGGGTAGAAAATATGGTATTCTATCTTTCTATCTAATATTTTATAAAAAAAAATTTGTTGGCCTATCCTACCCGATCAAGGATAGTATTCCTACTCGAATTTTGTCTAAATTAATCAGGTAGGAAGTCGAGTGAATATGTTTTGTAGTTATTAATTTTTAAATCATTTTAACAATTTAATTAAATAACATGTACTAATTTAGCAACACAATAAACCAATAACACTAAAATCTAAAACAATTATAATAACAATTTAGAAATCATATACTATAATTTAAATTCTTAGAAAATTATATACAAAATTTCAAAAATCATATAATATAAAATCTCAAAAAAAATCAGAAATCATATACTATGATCACAAAACACATAGCTATAATATCTCAAAAAAAACTACCACCTGTCCTAAGCAAAACCATTAACCATATGGAGTACCACTTGGGACAATCGATTCACAGAGTACTTGGGACCATCGATTTGATAGCATCGAATTGCCCCCAAACAGTCAACTGTGAGAGAGAGAGAGAGAGAGAGAGAGAGAAAAAAGAGCCATAAAATCTCAAAAATTATGGTATTTGTAGCCCTAATCAACAACCCTANCACTGGTTAAAATAGTTAACCAAAATATATATTTTTATATTATATTATTTATTTTAAAAAGTCACTTGTACTGGTTCAGCCTAACAACATTTTCTATTTTAACTAATTTCAACTAATCCAAACATATATACATAGATAAATAGAGGTGTAGTTCTCTCCATCCAACCCAAATAGACCGAAGACAGAAAGTGGGGGTGTTCATTTTACCAAACGGGTAGAAAATATGGTATTCTATCTTTCTATCTAATATTTTATAAAAAAAAATTTGTTGGCCTATCCTACCCGATCAAGGATAGTATTCCTACTCGAATTTTGTCTAAATTAATCAGGTAGGAAGTCGAGTGAATATGTTTTGTAGTTATTAATTTTTAAATCATTTTAACAATTTAATTAAATAACATGTACTAATTTAGCAACACAATAAACCAATAACACTAAAATCTAAAACAATTATAATAACAATTTAGAAATCATATACTATAATTTAAATTCTTAGAAAATTATATACAAAATTTCAAAAATCATATAATATAAAATCTCAAAAAAAATCAGAAATCATATACTATGATCACAAAACACATAGCTATAATATCTCAAAAAAAACTACCACCTGTCCTAAGCAAAACCATTAACCATATGGAGTACCACTTGGGACAATCGATTCACAGAGTACTTGGGACCATCGATTTGATAGCATCGAATTGCCCCCAAACAGTCAACTGTGAGAGAGAGAGAGAGAGAGAGAGAGAGAAAAAAGAGCCATAAAATCTCAAAAATTATGGTATTTGTAGCCCTAATCAACAACCCTAAGCAAAACAACCAACCGTTGATGAACTTGAGACCATCAATTCAATGACATCAAATTGTCCCCAAACAATCAATAGAGAGAGAATACTTGAAAGGCTAGGACTCGAAAAGTGGGTAGAGAGTACTTAGAGTAAAGAGGGCAAGAGAGGTGAGCTAGTGAGNGGCCGAAGACAGAAAGTGGGGGTGTTCATTTTACCAAACGGGTAGAAAATATGGTATTCTATCTTTCTATCTAATATTTTGTAAAAAAAAATTTGTTGGCCTATCCTACCCGATCAAGGATAGCATTCCTACTCAAATTTTGTCTAAATTAATCAGGTAGGAAGTCGAGTGAATATGTTTTGTAGTTATTAATTTTTAAATCATTTTAACAATTTAATTAAATAACATGTACTAATTTAGCAACACAATAAACCAATAACACTAAAATCTAAAACAATTATAATAACAATTTAGAAATCATATACTATAATTTAAATTCTTAGAAAATTATATACAAAATTTCAAAAATCATATAATATAAAATCTCAAAAAAAATCAGAAATCATATACTATGATCACAAAACACATAGCTATAATATCTCAAAAAAAACTACCACCTGTCCTAAGCAAAACCATTAACCATATGGAGTACCACTTGGGACAATCGATTCACAGAGTACTTGGGACCATCGATTTGATAGCATCGAATTGCCCCCAAACAGTCAACTGTGAGAGAGAGAGAGAGAGAGAGAGAGAGAAAAAAGAGCCATAAAATCTCAAAAATTATGGTATTTGTAGCCCTAATCAACAACCCTAAGCAAAACAACCAACCGTTGATGAACTTGAGACCATCAATTCAATGACATCAAATTGTCCCCAAACAATCAATAGAGAGAGAATACTTGAAAGGCTAGGACTCGAAAAGTGGGTAGAGAGTACTTAGAGTAAAGAGGGCAAGAGAGGTGAGCTAGTGAGCTATGAAGTCTAACATATATATATATATAGGAATGCAAAAATTTAATAAGTATTTCGCATTCTTATCCGATTTAATTGAAAGATCAAAAATTCTTTCACATTCTTACCCGATTTTTTCGGTTAGCAAATTAATAGGGTCGGATATGATAGAAAATTACAAATAATCAAAAAATTAAACACCCTAACAAAGAGAGAGAGAGAGAGAGAGATAGATGGAATTTTTTGTGGGATTTTAGTAAGAGCCGAAAAAAAGAGATGGGATTCAGTGAGATTTCGGTGGTATATATATACACACACACACATAGAGATAGAGATCGCTCCATATTTGGGTGGTGAAGCCTTGGANACAGAAATCATATACTATGATTACAAAGCACAGAGCTATAATATCTCAAAAAAGCTACCACCTGTCCTAAGCAAAACCATTAACCATATGGAGTACCACTTGGGACAATCGATTCGATGAACAGAGTACTTGGGACCATCGATTTGATAGCATCGAATTGCCCCCAAACAGTCAACNTTACCTACATCTGATTTGTTTATTAATTATGTCATGTCCGATCCACTTATTTATAAAACATGTGACTTAAAAAAGATCTATACTATCTAATTTTGTATCGTGTTCATTTCGTATCAAATTTTAGTACTCCTATGTCTAGCCATGTTCGGCCAGCCAGCCAATATTGGAAAATCCATGGCTTGGGCCAAGAAGTAGGTCTGAGCCCAAANCGATTCAATGGCATCAAATTGTCCCCAAACAATCAATAGAGAGAGAATACCTGAAAGGCTAGGACTTGAAAAGTGGGTAGAGAGTACTTAGAGTAAAGAGGGCAAGAGAGGTGAGCTAGTGAGCTATGAAGTCTAACATATATATATATATAGGTATACGAAAATTTAATAAGTATTTCGCATTCTTACCCGATTTAATTGAAAGACCAAAAATTCTTTCACATTCTTACCCGATTTTTTCGGTTAGCAAATTAATAGGGTCGGATATGATAGAAAATTACAAATTATCAAAAATTTAAACACCCTAACAAAGAGAGAGAGAGAGAGATAGATGAAATTTTTTGTGGGATTTTAGTAAGAGCCGAGAAAAAGAGATGGGATTCAGTGAGATTTCGGTGGTATATACACACACACACACACATAGAGATAGAGATCGCTCCATATTTGGGTGGTGAAGCCTTGGAAGAAGACGATGCAGAGCAAACCTTTGTGAAGACAATGAAGCCTCTGATTAAGACGATGACAAAAAAAATATAAAAGAGAAATACTTAACGAAACTAACTCGCCAGAAGTAACGACTAAAAAATGGGCTAGGTAAAATAGTTAGTGGGATAAAGAATTTGTTGGAGAGAAATTTTAGGATTAGCTCTTTAAAATAACTAAGACGAGACTTTTAAAGAGTCCCTCCAAGTTGTTCTTAGTTGGTTATGAGAAAGTTATTCTTAGAAATATTCAATCCCTTTAATTTTAAGTCGTGTTTGTATCAGAGATATTTTTGTAATACTCATATATTTAGCAAGACTTGTCAATTGTGTCAAAAAATGTTCTGTCTATATGTGATTCGTTTATTAATTCGTATCTAATAAATTGTGTTATATTGGATTCGTCTCATGTTTGGATAGTATATAACTAGTAGATAAATGAGTCGTGTCGTATATTTTTTAAATAGACTTCACCTACATCCGATTTGTTTATTAATTATGTCATGTCCGATCCACTTATTTATAAAACATGTGACTTAAAAAAGATCTACACTATCTAATTTTGTATCGTGTTCATTTCGTATCAAATTTTAGTACTCCTATGTCTAGCCATGTTCGGCCAGCCAGCCAATATTGGAAAATCCATGGCTTGGGCCAAGAAGTAGGTCTGAGCCCAAAAATTAGCCTGACATTTTGTGAATCGGTCCACTAGCCATAACACTGACCCAAATGTCGATTGGAACCTGTCTGTGTGGCCATGTCAGGCTTACTTGCTGAATCGCTCTCTTGAAGGCTAACCTGAAACGAAGCACATTCCAACTGATTATTCTGAAGCTTTCTCTCGGAGATTATTACCGGGTACATCTTCTTTCTTTCTGACTATGTGTGTGTGAGTGGGCAATTTGTGTTAGTGTGTTTGTTTCGATGCTTCAGTGAGACTTTTCTGCTGAAGCACACTCAAACAGATTGTTCTGAAGCCGCCTCTCGTAGATTTTTACCAGTTATATCTTTTTCCTCTAAAAATGTCTCTATGTATGTTGTTGGGGGGGGGGGGGGGGGGGGGGGGTGTGGGTTGT